TCACTTTCAGTAGCATATTCACACTTGGATCAATTCTTGGTAAATAACCCTTCACTGACTTGAATAATTTATCTGCCACCATGCACAAAAATTATCTCATCTTAGAACACTCCAAATTCAACCAAGCACATCATGAAATGCTTTCCTCACCTGATACTGAACTTTGTGAAGGAGACAGTCAGTCTATTTAATGTGTGTTCATGTGTACACAGGTATATCTGAGAATGATGTAAATATTAAAGTTTCAGAACATTAACAGAATTGTTTATTTCATCTATAACTACTTCAGGCACTGAAGAATCAAGGGTTCCTAACACTAAAGCACCACAAATCAGTCTGATTTTTAGCATATTTTTAAAGAAAAATGTACTCATCTGACCTATCTCTTTTGGTTCAAATTGCATTTCTGAAACCAATACCTGTTCTTCTAAGATATTTCTATATCATCAGCATTCCATAAGAAAATTTAAAAAATAATTAAGTAAACTGAAATTCTTTCGAGTTGCTTTCCTTTGTTTTTTTTTTCTTCTAAGAGTTTATTTATTTTTTTTTAATTACTGTTGAAACATCAAGAACTACAAGTATGCAGGCAAAAGTTTTTAAAAACTTCCTGAAAGCAGGCAGCCTGGGTGGCTCAGTGGTTTAGTGCTGCCTTCAGCCCAGGGTCTGATCCTGGAGACCTGGGATCGAGTTCCACGTCGGGCTCCCTGAATGGAACCTGCTTCTCCCTCTGCCTGTGTCTGTGCCTCTCTCTCTCTCTCGCTCTCGCTCTCGCTCTCGCTCTTGCTCTCGCTCTCAAATAAATAAATAAAATCTTAAAAAAAAAACTTCCTGAAAGTTTATCAGGATTTGAAAGAATCTTTACTTTAGAAGATCATCTACAACTCACTGCAATAAATGTCAAGATTTGAATCACTTCATCCAAGATGAGTATGAGCCAGGGTTCTCATCTGAAGAAGAGTGTGTGCATTCCTGCTTGTTTTATTTTATTTATTGAACATAATTTTTTGCTTTACCAGAAGATGTAACCTAGTTAAATGCAAGCACTGCTTTCTTACCTCAATGCCTGGCGAGCTAACATTTATTGAGTCCTTATTATGTTCTAGTACTTCTAAATGTGTGACTTGCATTTTTTCACATATTCTTCACAGTAAGCAATAAAATTTTACTTTAATTGTCCATATTTATCAATGAGGAAACTAACATCCAAAGATGAACTAACTCACCTAAAGTCTCATAGATAGGAAGTAAGACAAAATCTTAACCTTCTCTTAGAAAAAAAAAAAAAAGATTAAAATCTTTGTTCCAGATTACATTGGGAAACTGTCTACATTATCCACTCTCTGTAAATCAAATATAGGAAACCCATGTTCATTACCAACATTCCTCTGCATCTTTCTAATTTTAATTTAATTTCAAATATTTTGCCAAAAGAAGATGTCAGGGCCCCAAGCTGCTGCGTGTTTAATAAGAGGATTTGTGATGGATCTTCTAACTGCCATCCATGTTCTGTATAATTAATTAAGCAGATGCAAATGTTACTGTGGATTTGCAGTCAGGTTAAGTCTGAGAACTTTTCACTCTGTCTCTCAAGTAGTACATTCCTATGGCCTCCAGAGGTGGCTAGTGCATGCTTGAGGATTCCTAACTGGAGACAGCTTCTAGGATTATTACTTCTTGGAGGGTCAACCACAAGTTTCATAAAGCAAATTTATGTCCACATTACAACATTTTATAAGCTGAAATGCATGTATCCAGCCCTTTGTGATTTTTACATACCCAGGGAGAAGTAGGCTTAATAATAATACTAATAATATTCTTCAGCAATTCTATTTCTAGCATCTTGATAATGACATTAATTATCAGAGAAAGTTATTCCACATTTTGCAGAATTGTTGTCTCTATATAAAATGTTTTATTAACAGTTCTTCTTCTCATCTGAAATTGAAATTCTTTTCAGTGTCTATGAAAAAATACAGTTGCTCATTGTCTCCTCCTCCTCCTCCTCCTATCCACTCTATCAATTTGTACACATAATAATTTTTATTATCCTTCTGTTACTTCTTTTTTTGGGAAATTTTATGGGGGAAATAAAGGCTGTGGTTTTAAGAACCTGAAAGATTTAATCATTTCCCCCAAATACACGTGTCTGTTTATGACACAGTAGGTAGCTTGCAAGTAGCAAGAATAAATTTGAGTTCTGCTGCTTTTTACTGTACTTACCACGTAATTATTTTAATTATTTCATGATTTATGCAGCATCTACTTCCAAGGAAGATTTAAGGTTTCTAGGGTTACAAAGTGAGTAAGAATGATAAAAAAAAATAACAATAGGGTACAATGCATACAGATGGGAAACAAATAAAAGCTGTTACAAATTTTTGCTACTTCCAATTCAATCAAATTTCCTCAGAATTTCCTAGTGACCCAGGCAAAAAGGGAACCTGAGTGGGATCTGCAACAAACAAGATAAACACAAATATATGTAAAAACACTTTCTAAAATAATCTATTCCTAATAAAAGAGATCTTATTAATTTTTTACTTGACCTAAGAACCATTTCTCTAATATACACAATTTTTAAAAATGAAGAAATTTGGAGGATAATAGTTACTGAAATTTTTCTTAAAGAGTACCAAGTTTTTAAAATAGTTTCTGATACACTTTTGTAGACACTGTCAATTCACATTCTTTGTCAACAAAAAATAGCAGAAATATTTCTCGTGATAAAATATGAATTATAAAGAACAAAACAGGCATTTAATAAAATCACAAACTAAAAATCACCTTAATTCACTGACAATATTTCAAATGAAATATTACAATGTATTTATCATAAATGGCTTGAGATTCTGGAAAGACTATCATCTACCTACCTTAAATAATTTATTACATATGCATATTGTTATGATATATATAATAAACAAAATATATATTGTTTCTTGGGCTTCATTTCCACAAGTGACTGTACTCATTTCAATAAGTAATTGTTATCTTTTATATCCCATATCATCAGGATCAAAAGTCTGTAATTTCAGTAATACAGTATTCAGTACAAACCCACAAAAAACAAAGAAGTTTACCCATCCCATGTGTGATAACTTTGTATGGTATTTCAAAGACACAGAAAAATCCCAAAAGCTAGAGTAGATAAATATATATATTTTTTAATTTTTTACTAAATTCATTCCTTTTACTTCTCTAAATAAATCTGACTAGTAGCTTTTTCTTTTTTTCATTTTCCTTAGTAGTTATAATGAGAGATGTCTCATTTGAAATTTCAGTAATCGTTGTGATTTATTTGCAAGGAAAACAAAATACTTGCATATTTAATAAGTTGTGATAGAGCTATAAACTTTTAAATGGTCAAAGGAAATATTTTTGCAGGGTTTATTGGCTTCATAAATAAATCTCACAAAATAATATCACCTTCCTACTTCCCTGGCCTGTATATAAACATCCTAACTCCTCTTTTAGAGGATGATAAATATTAAGCACAAAATAACAGGATTAGAATGCAGTTTATGTTCTGAAAGCAAACCTAGTAAAGAAAAAAACAACCCACAGCTAAGGAAAACATACATGCTTAGGTCAAATTAATCCAGGATGTCTTCAGGTTTTTGACTTATATGTTAGACATTTGAATGAATATAATTGGCTCCTAAAAATGAACACAAATGGAACCATTATCAAACAGCGATTTAACACACTTTTAAATACAAATGAGGATGCTTCAGCTGGTATCTTCCTCCATCAGAACGCACACTGCTGTAGGTAATGCTGACACCTGATCAAGTGCTCTGTGTTCCCAAGAGCCTGACTGGCCTGGTGGGAGATGGAAGGTTTTTGTCTTTATTGGCCCTGGCTGTCCAATATTCTGGGCCTGGGTCCCAGCCTCAGGCATTCAGAGTTGTGCAGATTCACCCTGGAGCTCCTTGGGAGGGTCTGGATTCAGACCTGCACATTCAGCCTGGCTTCACGTGCTGCCCTGCAAAAAATGTGCTTCCAGGCTGCCAAGTGCTTGCTCCTGTCTTTAGCAGTGGTGCTATTTCTGGTCTGTAGAGATTTTTGTATTAATTTATTATTATTGTTTTTTTATCTTTAGTGTTCCTATATGTTTGTTAATCTAATGTTTTTCCTATTATCTCTCTGTGTTTGAAACAGAAGGGATCACTTTCAGTAAGTACTTAAATCTGTTATTTTAAATGAGAAGTCAATATTCTGATCCTGTAATATAACCTCATAAAACAAACTTATATAGTATAATGATTACTCAGTATTCGCTAGCAAGAAATGGAACTTGCTTTTGCTTCCAATCTTTCTATTTCCTTCTTTCTATTCTTCTTTTCCTTTCTATTCTTTCTGCATAGGTAACACATCCATACAGTTCATAAACTAAAAATAGATTTTCCTTAAAAGTCTGGTAATCTAGGTTGTATCACACATGAGTGTTTTTCACTGTGCATGTCATGAGACTTGTTGCAAGGTGACCCTGCTGAGCCATTGTACTGGGAAAACTCATGTCAGAACCTTTAGGTTATCCAAATATCACGGAGAAGACATTTATAGTTTCCTGCATAAGTTAGAACCGAGTAGATAAACACTTATTTAATTCTTTTGTTTTCCCTAAGGAATATATTATAGACTAAACTGTGTCCTGGTTGTCCTAAGTCCCAATGTGACTATATTTGAAGAGAGAGTCTATAGAAGGTAGTAAAGGTTAAATGAAATCATAAGGTGAGGTCTTTATCAAATAGGACTAATGTCCTTCTAAGAAGACACCAGAGTTCTCTATGACTCTGAGTATGCACAGAGGAAAGGCCAGGTGGACACTCAATCCAGGAAGAGAGTCCAACCAGAAAACAACCTTTGGATCTTGGACTTCTGGCCTCCATCCAGAACTGTGAGAAAACATCCATTGTTGAAGTCACCCAGTCTGTGGTATTCTGTTATGACAGCCTGAGCAGACTAATATAGTATTCATATCCTCCCTTGAGAGCCTTCTTCTCCCTTCTCCAAGAGACTCACCTGGTTGTCTGGGGAGAAGGATTCACTGGCAGCATGGAATGGGCAAAGGGAACTGGCATTCTAACTAATTTTTATTTTATTCATTTATTATCTTTTTGAAATATTTTATTTCTTCATTTGAGCAAGAGAGAGTGAGAAAGAGAGAGACAGCATGAATGAGGGGATGAGCAGAGGGAGAGGGAGAAGCAAACTCCCCTCTGAGAAGGGAGCCCAAAGCAGGGCTCAGTCCTGAGACTTCAGGATTCTGACCTGAGCAAAAGGTAGGTGCTCAACCAACTGAGCCACCCAGGTGCCCCCTAACTGAATTTTAAACAGACTTTCAACACATCTCTTTTTATTCCTATTTTACTCTCACCTGTAGAGACGCTAATTGTAATTCCCAAATTTTTGAAGGATCCATGGTGTAAAGTAGGTGGCCTTCCATTTTTTGCCATTGGGAGATTAAGATTTGGTTTGTGCTTTTAAAAAAGATTTTATTATTATTATTATTATTATTATTATTATTATTATTATTAACAAAGGCAGTTACCACTTGTCCACTTGCTATCCAATTCCCAAAATATTGCTATCATCTCTTTCACTATTCTATTTCTTCTTTGGGATTCACATTTTTTTATTTTTAAAATTCCACTAAGTGTTGTTTAGTGAGAATTCAGAAAAAAAAGAATCCTTAAATGCTTGTGTTCTGGCCTCCATCATTAATTTGAAATCACCTCCCTTTTGAAGCACTAATCCCAAAGGTTGGTTGGTTGGTTTTGTATTTTTTTGTGTTATATGGTTATGTGTCTATATTAATATTACTTTTTGTTTGTTTTTTGGTATCCTCCTGTAATGGGAGTCCCTTAAGGATACCCCATGGGATACAGATGGTGAAGATTTTTACTCAATATTTTACTTCCTCACCCCAAGTCTTGACAGACACACAGCAGAGGTCCAATAATCATTTCTGAATAAACAAGGTAGTCCTCAGGTTTTTAAGTTTGTTAATTGGTATAATTCTTTCTGGATGTAAGTCCTACTGTCCTCACTGTAATTCCACTTTCTCCCAGCTCATACTGATTTTTGTCTTCTGATCACTGAAAAAGATGCAACTGGGACGAAGCAATAAAGATATTTTTAGACTTGCCTATAAAGGGATGAGGTTTGAAAAGGCATTATTAAACTTGGGATTTCCCTAAGTCCTCTAAATATTTCCAAGTAACACCACTCCAGTTGCTTAAATATCATTATTTTTTTTGTTCAATTCCCTAAATATCATTAAAGATTTCAAGGAATGCTCAACATTCAACCCGATTAAATAATTTTTTCAAAATGTTAACACATTTGCCATCTACAACTATCTTGAGTACTACCCAGAGTACATAACTCACTTTAGGAAACACATTATAAAACAAAGAATGACATCAACCATATTATTTCCAACAATTCTTGGCTTAATTTTAAATTAGTCACAGTGGATTAAATTCAAATGAGCCAAAACCTGATTGGTGTTTTAGGTTTTTAGCATGCAAAGGTTAATGTTTATTTTATTATATAATGAAGTGTTAGAAAATTCATTTAGGTAGATTTTTATGAAATTAGTTTAATTATAAATAAATTCAATGTGTGTGTTTTTTAATGGGGAGTAAATATTAGTCTTAAAACATACATGGAAACATAATTAAATATTTTATTTTTGTACCAAATACCCAATTATGCTCTCTATAGCCTTCAAGTCTCAATTAACGGTATGCTCACTCTTCACTGTTATGGGTTAAAATAGAAAACCAGGATGTTCTTCAATAAGACTTTGACTTTATAATCTACTTTTATATCTAAATGATAATGCCTTCATGATTCTTTGGGAAAAATCCATTTTGTACTTACCTACAATGTCATTCATTAGACCTAAAATAGTCTCATCTCCTGTAATCCAAGGACGTTTTCCTACTTCATGACCATAGACTCCCCTGAAATTGAAAAGGGACATAAACACTATTATGTTTGTGTGTGTATCTGTGTGTGTGTAAATTTTCATGTATCAGCATTAGCAACTGGACATTTGTAAATGAGTTTTGTAATATTTTAGTAATTTCATTGAAGTGAGAGAGCTAGGTTCTTGTCTCACAGAGTCAAAGGATGAATCTTGAGGACAAAGAAGAGTGAGTTTAAAGTGAGAGAAATTTATGAAGCAGGGGTACAGAAAATTATGAAGCAGGGGTACAGCCCTCAGGAGTGAGAAAGGTCCCAACAGGGTTACCACTGAGGGCTTTTGGGGTTGGTCTTTTGGAAGAAACTTAAATCTTTTTGACTTCTCTATTGGCAGCACCATTGATCAAGGACTAGTGATAACATCTTTAATACCTTACTTCTTTTTAGGGTTTGGTTATTTTCTGTTGACCAGAGGAGACTGTCATAAATAAGATTTCCCCCTTGGACACCTAGAGTGTTTCCTTATCTCTGGCTTCCTTACATTTCTGCATTTGGAGGATTTCTGTGAGCCTGATCAGATAGCCCCTTCTCCTTCCTACCTATGCCTGTCCCTTACTCATTCCTCCCCGCGGAATAGTAACCCTAACTGCCCTTAGGGAATGGGATGATAATCTGTCTGGCAGCTTCCTGCTAAAATGGAGCAGTGGGCTTTGTGGCAGTTAGAATCTATCCAGAGGTCAGTCCAAGGCCACACGATATCCCTCTGGGGGTCATGATGAACAGCAAATGGTGCATGCATCAGCACATGCAAAAGAATAAATATAAAACAAGTCTTAGGCCAAAAATTATTAACATATCTCTTAGATAAGATCCCCAATGACCAATTCTGTCAAATAGATCAGTGAATATCCAGATCCTATTTGATCAAAAATGTCCCCTGTTAATTGGGACACCTTGTGGGAGTTAACTGTAACGTTAAAACAGCACGTGTGAGGAAACTCCTCACACCCTAAATGGAATAGCAATAATAGTCAATAGTGGTGCAGTTCGTGAGATGTCCTTCTCTGACTTCACTTAATTCTTGGTTGAATGTATCTAGTGCCTGGGAAGTCTCATTTAGAGTCCTGCTCAGCAACCATACTGTTTTGCTTATTTTATGTTGCAGTCCTATCATAAGTCTTGGATGTCCCATAGTGAGGCCCTTTTTTACCAGGAGGGCTGTTGTATGCTTGGCTAAAGCCTTTGTTTGCAATTTTATCTCAGTGGAGGTGGCTTCTAGAATAAATATTGAATTTGCGACAAACAGGATTAGTCAGGGCTAGAATAGGGGACCACAGAATCAGGCTCACAGAAATCCCAAAAATTCTGAGGTATAAGGAAACTAGAGATAAGGGAACAAGCCAGACCACCCTGCCCTAAGTGTGGGCAGGGAGGGCATCTTTTTTATGACAGTAATCTGTGACCAACAAAGAATAATCAGACCCCAAAGAGAAGTGAGCCATTAAAGATGTTATCACGAGTCCTTACTCAATGGTGGTATCAATAGATAATGTTAAAAGGATTTGGGTTCCCTGATTAGGTTTTCAATAAAAGACCAACACTACAAGCCCTCAGTAGCAACCCTGTCAGGACCCCTCTCACTCCTGAGAGCTTTCTCTGTATATTTACTTAATAAACTTCTATCCCTTTACTCACTCTCCTGTGTCCGCAAGATTCATTATTTGACTCTGTGAGACAAGAACCAAGCTCTCCCGTATCAATATGACTAAGAGATAAAACAATCAAGAAGCCCTCTTTGTGGGATGCCTGGATGGTTCAGTAGTTGAGCATCTGCCTTTGGCTCAAAGGGTGACCCAGGGGTCCCGGGATCAAGTCCCACATAGGGCTCCTAGCATGGAGCCTGCTTCTCCTTCTGCCTGTGTCTGCTCTCTCTCTCTCTCTCTCTCTCTCTCTCTCTCTCATGAATAAATAAATAAAATCTTAAAGAAGCCTTCTTTGTTTGGGGTCCAGCCTTAACAATATCCTAATTATAAGGAATCACTCACAAGTGGGAGAAAACTTGTCTCAAGAGATAAAGGCATCCCTAAGTGCATCATCCCATTCAATTATAAAGAAAGTGTGGCCATCCATTATCTCCATAAGACCATAGTCAACCCCATACAGTGGGGTATGCTGTGGCTTTAAAGGAACAATTTTGTCATCCAGCCACGCAGAATTGGTCAAGGTTCTAGTTGAGGAATTAATCCCATTTTCTAGTTGTTTGTTTACACATGAGCTATTGTGGCAATTTCTCTGAAGTTGATCTCAAGTCTAGCTTAGGCAAACAACATTTAAAGACAATCAGAACTAGAATTACACATCTGCAAATGTGTGTTATTGAGACAATTTTTCTTCCTAAAATCACCCATATTTTATTTTTTTTTAAGATTTTATTTATTTATTCATGAGACACAGAGAGGCAGAGACATAGGTAGAGGGAGGAGAAGCAGGCTCCGTTCATGGAGCCCGATGAGGGAATCCAGGGTCACGCCCTGAGCCAAAGGCAGACGCTCAACTGCTGAGCCACCCAGGTGTCCCAAATCATGTGTATTTCATTTTATTTTTTTAAGATTAAATAAATAAATAAATAAATAAATAAATAAATAAATAAATAAATAAATCTTTATTTATTTATTCATTCATGAGAGACACAGAGAGAGACACAGAGACACAGGCAGAGGAAAAAGCAGGCTCCATGCAGGGGGCCTGACACGGGACTCGATCCTGGGTCTCCAGGATCAGGCCCTGGACTGAAGGCAGTGCCAAACCACTGAGCCACCCGGGCTGCCCTCAAATCACCTGTATTTTAAATCCAAATAGCCAACTCAAGACTAATTTGTTTGCAAAAACAATCCAATTTTGACAAACGTGGCCTAATTATTTACATAAGCTCAGCAAGGATAATGATTATCATACAGACCTTTTAAAATCTGCTTTGCTGGAACTTTTTATAAAGAATTTTTAGGTTGAACTTTTAGTAGCCTCTCCACACCAAGCCAAGTACTTGCCATCAGATGAGCCTGTAATACCTGTAGATGTGGGCAGATTTCTCTTGATGAAGTCTGTAATATAGTTCCTGCACTTGACATTCTTTACTCATCTAGTAAGGCTGCTGGGAACTCTGTAAGCAAGGTATCAGACCACCCTTTCCAAGGGGCTTTATGGCTCCAAGTTTCATAAAGTTAACCTTGGTTAACTCTGCTCATATCTGAGTCTATGCATGTCTCTCACATATGACATTATAGTCAAAGTCTTGGTAAAATAACCAATGTTTCCAATAGTGTCTTGTTTCAAGGAGAACAGATTCTTTCTTTTAGATTTTATTTATTTTTTAGCGAGAGAAGCCTTCTCACTAAAGAGAGGGAGGGAGCACAAGCAGAGGGAACTGCAGGCAGAGGGAGAGGGCTGAGCAAGGAGCCCAATGTGGGACTGGATCCCAAGGTCCTGGGATCCTGATCAGAGGTGAAGGCAGATGCTTAACCAACTGAGCCACTCAGGTGCCCAGGAAAATAGATTCTTATTGAGCTTATGCAAGTGACTATGATTGCCATGGAAGGAAGAACACTTACTAAGACCTTTTGAATTTCAGAGGGTCAGGTAGAGAGAAAAGTTAAATGCTCAGTTTGTTCACAAATGAATACTTTATCACATCTCGGTATGTCACGGGTATCTTAAGAGAAAGTTTCCTGAATCTGAGAGAGCAAACATTAGAGAACCAGCAGAGTTTCAAACGAGAGTCACAAAACTATAAAATGAGTCTTTTTAGTTCAATTAATCCCACAGTGCTATACTGGTTTAATTTGACTGCAACTTTAGGAAGTTCTTACCCATTTCAGTTTTGATCTTAAAGATCTCAAAAATCTGCATTTGTCCTAAAGTCCTTTTTATGAACCTCCTTGAAGATGAAACTCATTTTGCAAGACAATAAGAACACTTATAAGTGACAAAAAACTCAGAAGTGGACATTTCTGTTAATGACCTGATGAGATGACAATTTACAATATAGCTGACAGGAAATCAGGTTATTTCTGTGGCATGTAACACTTCAATGATCAAAATATCAAGTGATGACATTGTATTAAAACTGAAACTTCAGGAATTGCATATCATCTAGAATAATTACAGCATTTACACAAATGTAAGTTATCATTTGTTTACCAGTGCCTCCAGAGTAACTTAACAAATCAAATAAAAAGGCCTAATGAGTCAAAGAGACTTCATTTACAATTTAAATCTTGAGAATTTTGTTAAAACCTTAGAAAGGTTTAAAGCACTTGCCTAGATAGAATTACAGATCATTACAAAACTTTACCTGTTTAACCAAAGTGACAATAAGAGATTCCAAAGGCAAAAAGATAGGCTTACGTAGTTGTTGGCAAAATTTAGCTCCTTTAACACTGAGAAGTTTTAACTACGTGATCAAAGACCTGATAAAGACAAAACATACAAACTAGTTCTCTGAGCAGACAACAGAGAAAGTGCCTTTGTTTACATTTTCTTATCAAGAGCAGACCAACAACCCAAAACAACTTGTCTTTTGAACAGAAAGAAAAGCATAATTCCAATCTTATATCCATGTACTTTGAAAATCCCTTAATTTAAACTTAGTCCATTCTGACCACATGTAAAATTCCTTTCCAAAGATTTCCCTACCACAAACCTTCTGCAGCTGAGTAAGGAACAAATGGGGCTAGGAGAGAAATAGATATGGGGCTATGGGATCAGGCTCACAGAAATCCCCAAAATACTGAGGTGTAAGGAAACCAGAGATAAGAGAACAAATCAGACCACACCCCACTGCCCTAGGTGTAGGCAGGGAAGGTGTCCTTTTGATGATAGCCACCTGTGACCAACAAAGAATAACCAGACCCTAAGAAGAAGTAAGCCATTAAAGATTTGAGTAAGGACTGGTGATAACATTAAGACATCACAAGAATGATAAGGTCACAAGCTCCCTGGTCAGTTCTAAATAAGACTGTTGTGGAGGCCCACATTGGAA